AGCTGCTTTGACATCACATGCAAGGGATCTATATGGGAAAATGATTTCGTGTTTCCTCATGAACACAAGGTTTGTTAGTCGAGAACAWTAGTTTTTGGTGGTGTTATCTCAAATCTGTGTATAAACACGAGATACCATGGGTTGGGCAGCAGGGTGCTTAAAATTAGGGTGGTGGGGGGGGGGAGGGGGGCTTAACTGGAATGATATTTGCATATGGCCCTATAACTGGGGGCACTTATAACTGGGATTTTACGATATTGTAATTACTTTAATCTACTTCACTGGTGTAATCTAAAGATTTTCATAGGCATATCTGATAATTTAGGCTAAATTTTTCAGTAAGAAATGTAGAATCTAACCCATCCCCACAATAATTCCTATATTTGAAACATTTCTTATATACCACTACCTTTATATTTTTTTACTGAATATTTGTATGTCCTTTGATAGAGCACTGGAAGAGGAGAGCAGGAGACACAAAGACAACGAATACATAAAAGCCATCCACTTCCCTCATGAACTAGAAAGGACAGAGATGATCAAAGAAGACTTGGCCTTCTACTATGGAGAAGACTGGGAAGAACGAATCGAGCTAACAGATGCTACCAAGGAGTATGTAGAAAGACTGAAGAAGATTGGCAACGAAGATCCCATACTGCTTATCCCACACCACTACACAAGATACCTTGGTGATCTGTCTGGTGGGCTCATCTTGAAGAAAATGGCGACCAAAGCTATGGATCTGCCCTCAACTGGAGAAGGTGTTCGCTTTTATTGCTTTGATAATGTCGCTGAACCAAAGAAATTCAAGAATATCTACCGCTCACAGCTAGACAAGCTGCAGATTGACCAAGAAACATCAGATAAGATTGTGGAGGAAGCAAACCTTGCTTTCATGTTCAACATCAAAATCTTCCGAGAAATTGATGCACTGGCTGGCTATGAACAAGAAGAAAGTACAACAAAGAAGACCAAAGTTGAAGAAGAACCAGAAAAAGCAGCAGACAATCCTACATCTGACAAGTCACCAGAGCTGTGTCCATTTGCAACGATGGCAAAGAATGCAAGGAAGGAACAAGAGAAGTTGCAAGAGGAACAAAAGCAGTCTTCTTTGGCAACACCTCTGATCTTCGCCATACTTGTTGCTGCAGTTGCTGTCTTCGTGGCAGTTTATGCCTTTAAAAAATAAATCCTTAATATATTCTGTTTTCTTAAGCCTGAAGGTGTGCTCTTAAAATATAAAAAACTGCGTGCAAAAAAAGTGCGCAAGTATAGGAAGAAAAATTTGTAGTTAAAATTGATTTTAAAGTTTGCCGAATATTCTATGCAGCTAAGAGAATAGTTTTATAATAATTGCGGCTTTTTGGTGCAAAACTAAACAGCAAAATAATATTTTGTTAACAGAAAAAATCTGTTTAAGACGCAATAAAGTATTGGTTTGTTATTTGTTGTTTGTGAAGGTCGATTGCTTGGTACTGACAACCTTTACAGTGCGAATCGAAAAACCGTGTTCTATTCTTCTTTGGCCAATTAGAATTGACTTTCTAAACACAAGATAACGGAAAGATAACAATAACGCTTCTGATTGGCTATTGAACATTCTTGAAATATTCCTAGGTGCCCCCGGTTTTTCGATTCGCACTGTAAGGACGTTCTACCCAAACTCTAACCCAAAGGCGCTAGATCGACGCTCCCATGTCTTAATCAAACAAGAAGATGAGGATCGTTATGAAATAAGATACATTTCTGAAGGTCGGATATGGAAAGGGAGGAGGAGGAGTAGAGGCATTTTTGTCCAAAATACCCCCATGCAGGACAGTTGGGTATTTTAAAATATTATTCGGAAGCATTTTCCCGCCGGGACCGCTAGTTTCGTTTTGCATAGTCAGCGGTGGTATTTGGTCTCGCGCCGAATTTTCACGCCTCCCCGTTTCCCAGATTAATGATCCGTCTTTGTTTTTTGAGCCTACATGTAAGTAATACAATAGAAAACTTTGGATTCGCTTTTTTTATATTTTACGTTGACTTTGTTTTAAAATGATCTACATTATATTCTTGCTATGAAATGTTCTTTTATATAATTCATAATAGAGTGAAGTCATTAAATCCGTGCAACAGATACTAGACTAATACGCATTAGTTGAACTTTATCCCATTGTTTTCTCTTGTGTTCATTTGACTATTACACGTTGACAAGTATTTTTTATTTCACGGGTTAAATGCCTCCACTCTATTTCAATGTTGTACAAGCACACACCTGATATTCTTGCTATGGAATGTTCTTATGCAATTCATGGTTCTTTTTATTCCTTTTTTCATGGTTTTCTTTGTTTCAGGTTTCAAGTGTAGTTTAAGGGCGTTCGGCGTGAAAAAATATTTCCTTGTGGAAACTTAAAAGAATATTTGACAATAGGAAATTATCGAAAAGAGAAAACACATTTTGTGAAAAATAGTACCGGCTTATGGTAGAGCGTTTTCACGTGACGTCACAGCGGCCACTATGGGGTACCAAAACAATACATTTTCTATCCTCCGGGAATTGAACTCTATTYTTATGCTGGGCAGAATGTTCTATTGTTTATGGCTGCCTTCTCACGTGGGTGAAAACGCTCTGTAGTTTCGTTTGACTTTGAAAAGCTCGCGGCTCTAACACATACTTGTGACACGGCAAGGCATACGCAAGACCAATCACATAGCTCGAGAATTAACCCTCTATCCAATCAAATACCCGGAACACAGCATAAACACGGCGTGGGCACGGTCACGCTAAGGTCACGGCACCCAATCACATTGCGCGAGAAAAAACATCAGCCAATTAAAATTCTAGAAATCATCACGGTCACGGCACGCTTACAGCACTGAGCTTTTCACAGACATGTGAAAACTGCTCAATACGACAGAGCAGAAAAACGACAAGGCTGCTACTTTCGCCATTTTTTTCTTTCATTCATGCTAAAAAACGTTTAGTGTTTCATTCGTGTCTCTTGTAAAATTTTCACAAAAATCTGCTAACCTCGAGCAATTCTACTGCGAGTTATTAGCGAAAATGTTGAGTTTTTGTGCTGAACAAAATATCTCTCCCAACGTTCAGGGCGTTATATCAAATACCCACCCCTTAAATTTCCCCAAATTTTGGTATTTTGTTAATCAGCCCCAAAAGAGCCTGTTTATGAAATATAAAGCTTATTAACGCATAAACGTCGAAAGTAGAACCCGTTTTTCTGCCCTGTCGCTCAATACTACGACTGCACGCCAAAGCGCCCTCTTTGAGGTTTATTCTAGTCTTAGCGGTTATTAAACCAAGTTTTATATTTTATATATATTATATACATATATATCTATATAAAAATAGGCTTAAAACATTTCTTGCTATTGCTTTACGCCTTACGCTTAACACCAAAGTCCATTTTACCTACAAACACGCTCCACTACTTGGAGATGGACTATTAAATTTGTCTTTAAACCACGCGGCTAGTCATTCAAGGTGGTCGGTAGAAGATGACAGGAAGCTCTACAGCATGTCTATCCAGCCAATGTGCTTCTTCATACGTCCTCGTAGGTATTTGTTAATCTACGTGATCTTTAATACCGGTTTCTGCTACCCGAGTGTCTCCTGACTCAGTACCTTGCGTATCTGATAAGTCACGTGTCCTCTCATCATAGGTGTCTTTTAAGTCCCGTGATCCCTCACTCTGGTTACCATCTGACACTTTATCATGGATAACCGTCGAACCAGGTGATTCTTTATCTTCAGTGCTCGTCAGGTCACGTGTTACGTCATCTCGAGTTTCACACACGTCACGTGTTTCTGCTGATTGGTCGCTGTCTGATGGCTGTTCTTGTATTTGTTTTTGGTCTTTGGCAATATCGGATAACCAAGATGTAACGAAGGACCTTGCGGTACTGAATGCACCTCCTGTGTGAATAGAATGACGATCATTAGCGTTCCAAATTCTACGTCTTTTAAGGTATCAGGAAGGAAGGGATTTGGACCGCTTTACGAGTTACCTTAAATTTTGCACGGACTTTTTGAATATTTTGTCATAAAAGTATACATTTTGTGACAGCACACAGGTAAACTGGGAAATGAATGATCGTTTTGCCCTAAGTCATAGTAGCTTGCGTAGCGGCGCTTTTTGGGGAGGTGGAGATGGGAGCGCCTTCTTTCTCTTCCCTCCTTCCGTCCCATTCCCCCTCTTCTTCAATTCCTCTTCCCCTTCCCCTTTCCCAAAGCGCCGCTTCGGAGGCTAACGAAAACATAGCTACCATGAAACAACTATTCTAGTTGAGAAGGAATCCATACACTACAAGGTATTCAACAAGGCGTGATTACTCACCCACGGCCCTTCCTGTTTGCGCTACTGCTTGTCCTAGTTTACGTCCTTGCTCGGTTTGCATACTCTTTGCCGCGACGTCATGATATGCGCTATTGTGGAATGAGAAAATGAAGTTAACGATACTAATCGACCTCTTTACTTTGGGCGTAATGTTATGCACCTCTCAAATCACTTGTCGTTCCTCAGAGTACTATTTCTTTGCTTTATGGATGCAACTCAAACAAAGAATCTTATTCTCAAGAGAATGACACGTGATCTGAAATGGGAAAAATAACAACAAAGCGAAAGAGTTCAATAGATCCTTTGCATGTGACGTCAAAGCAGCTCAATTTGGAGGACAAAACAAAAGAAATTCAATCTCCAAATAGAGCTGCATTCCGAAGTGCGGCAAGGGGTATATTGGATATCTTAAAATTTGTGACCGTGTAAGATAAAACGCTCGCCTCCTACTTCTGTGTTGCTTGGTTCCATTGACCTCCTCGGCTCGCTCGGGCGTAATGTTTTCCCATTTCAGACCACGTGTCATTCCCTTGAGATTAAGAATCTTCGTTGAGTTGTATCAATATTCATGTGTCTTCTCATGTGCAACCGAGCGCAAGCGTTAAACAAAGAAATGATACTCTAGGGAATGACACGTGGTATGAAATGGGAAACATTACGCTCGAGACGAGGAGGTATATTCCCGGCGACGGCAGATTCTCTAATTTGGTCTTATGTCCAAGGGTTTCCCCGGCGTGACTGGTTCGTTACTTGTTCTCCTCTCTTATCAACCCCAGCTAAATCAACTTTATTAGAGTAGTATCATATGTGTACCGTACAGGTGGTGGTGTACAAGAGAAATCTTATTCGAAACCTGGTCAACGTAAAGCATGATTCTTAATACTCACTAAGATAGCCTGATCTTAAGGTCGTTCAATCCAACTTGACCTTGGAATGGATGCCTGAAAAATATGTCATTTGTCTCTATAAGGACTTAAAAAACATTTTTGCCTTAAGTTCGTTATCGAAACTTAGTATTAGGCTGCGCGGCCTACCCTCGAAAGTCGGGGGTAGGAGGGAGGGGGGGGGGGGGGCTCAGAATAGACCCCTTTCGAATTCCAAATAACCGCTGTGTTTCTTGATTACAGACTCATTTGCACAGGGTTAGCCTCGAGTTTGTGCAGAATATTCACGTGTTCCAGTCAAGGTCCGTCGAGTTTCAACATGTTTGCATTGTTGAAGTTGTACATTCTTTACTTTACTGTTGGTACTTTACTGATACGAGGCTAACCCTAAATGAGTCTGTAATCAAGGAACACAGCGGTAATTTGGAATTCGAAACTGGTCTATTGAAAATATACAGTAGGCTAGTGTCTTCCATCAATTAAATTTTCAACGGTCTGAGTTAGTAATCTTTATTTCAAACCAGACGTCTTGGGCTGAGTTGTTCGCGTAATCATAGCTAAATATTTATCGTTTCATGGATTTTAGCAAAAGTGGAGTGCACATTCAGAACAAACAAATAAACTGAGTAGTAAACAAACAAACAAACAAGCACGCAAGCATACAATCAATATAAATGAATAGAGGTTTTGCAATATCCCGTACCGGCGCACATAATACAGCAATAAATTTTCTTTTCGGAGATATAAACATTTAAAATATCAATATGCAAATGAGGTGGCTTAAATTCAAGACTAATTTATTATACAAAAATGCTTTTGTGGAAAGTACTGCTGTTTTTTCATTTGCAAATCATCCTCATGTCTGAAATATGTGGCTTTGTACACTTTTAGGTTATTTCACTTCAGAACACTTGTCGTAAATTACACTGAAAAATGTAACACATTCTGGAATTTACGTCATCTCATTTGCATATTGATATTTCAAATGTTTATATCTCTGAAAAGAGAAGACCACATACAAAAATACTGCAACCATACTACTGCACTGTTCACATATAAGTGATTTTGAAAATAAATTTTTTTCCTTGATATACACTTTAGTGTCGTCTCAGGAAGCCATTTGAATTAAAAATGGACTTACCCAGAACGCAATTCATCAATCCCGACATGCTTTTTGTCATTCCAAATGGCGTAATTATGTGTTTTCTTCCAGCAAGATATAAAGCCGCTGTTAAAATTTTCCATTTCCTCTTCATCTAGATAAAACAACCGATAGAATCAACACGACAATGAAAAAAGGAAATGAGAGTGAAACGTTAATAAAAACATTGGTGTTATGAATAAGAAACACTCTGAAACAATCTCTGGACTGATCAAAGTTGGGACATGGCTAACTCAGAGATCAAACCCTGAAGCAACCTCTGGAAAGATCAAATTCAGGGCACGGCTGACTCACCGATCGAACCATGAAACAGCCTCTGGGCTAATCTAAGTCAGGACATGGTTAACTCACAGATCGAATTCGAATTTACGTTGTTAGGTTTTGCGAAGAAAGAAAAGCGGAAAATTCGGAAAAAACTCTAAAATCAATTCAAAGGACAGACCAAGAAATTCACTCGTATGTGATGACGAGTATGAGAATCAAACACGAGACCCCAGAGGTGAAAGGCGTAGGCCACCCTTGATCGCGCCTTGTATGTGATGACGAGTATAAGAATCAAACACAAGACCCCAGAGGTGAAAGGCGTAGGCCACCCTTGRTCGCACCTTGTAGGTGATGACGAGTATAAGAATCAAACACGAGACCCCAGAGGTGAAAGGTGCAGGCCACCCTTGATCGCGCCTTGTATGTGATGACGAGTATAAGAATCAAACACGAGACCCCAGAGATGAAAGGCGTAGGCCACCC